TGGTCAATAAAGATATAAAATGGAAAAAAATTTCTATAGACTCCCAGTAAATTTTTCCATTGTGATGTCAGAAATTTGAATATCTGGAATCTGCCAGAATAGTGAATGTTCTCACTGGGAACACTTTCATCAAATTATGAGCCTTTTATTCTAGGAACTACTACTGTCTTGTACATACTATTGAATTTTCACAGAAGCAGGTTTCTGGAACTGAAAAACATTCCTCACTTGTTTCTTCTGAATTTTTTTGGTGCTTTCTCATTTTAGGTGTCATTAAGAATTAATACTGCTACATTTTAACAATGAATTCACTTTCTTAAGATGGAACAATTCCTGTTATAATACAAATATATATAGAAATGTCACAAGTATATTCTCTATATAGCTCTCTTCAACAATCAAAAGTGACTTTTTTTTTCTTTATGAAAATCAGAGAATAGGAATCAGAGGGTTTGGAGTCTGGAAAGAGTGGCATGTGTGAGATGTGGGGAAAATGTGGAGGAGGGTGAATACAGTGCAAATACTGTGCACACATGTGTGTAAATGGAAAAATGAGACCTGTAGAAAATATTCCAGGAATGGAGGACAGAGGATAAAGGAGCATGATGTTGGGGGTAAATTTAAGTATGATATATTTGATACATTGTAAGAACTTTTGTAAATGTCACAATGTACCCCACAGAACAATAAAAAAAGGAAAAAAACACAAAAAATAAGTCAATTTGTCACATTTGTTAAAAAATTCATTCCTTTGGTTTAATAGCACTAACATAATTTTACCAAATACAGTGAAACAGCAATAGAAAATGAATTATTCTAAACAAGCTTTCTTTATAATTCATGTATATGAATCTTTATACTTTTGTCTTCTTTTTCCTTGAAGCTTCTGAGTATCAACAACTTGTGTCTTAAAACTTATGTGCTGATCATGACATAGATTTATTCCTTTAACAAGTTCTGTGGCGGTGGAGGGAATGATCGTCTTACATTCTCTGCTGTCCATTAGTTATTAGATTATCTTGACTCAGTACTTGAGATGAAATAAGTACACATTGATACATGTTCCCTGTTTTTCTTTTAAAATTTTTCCTTTGTTTAAGTAAATTTTTACTCTGCCTTATGCTATGATTGGGCCTTGTTTTTGTTTTCGTTCCTTGTGCTGGGCCATACCATTGCTATGTGAGGTTATGATTATATGCCCCTAGGTAGCACTGCCAAAACTATGGACCCGATTCTCCTTTCTTATCGGAGAATCCTTATTGAGGATTCCTCATGAGTAAAACCTTCTCATGGTTTTACTAGAGACCATGGGGTGCCAGCAGGTAGCAGTGCCGGGGGCCCCTGGGCCACCATGGCCAATTCCTCCCTAGAACACTACTCAATGTAGGCCCCAGGCCTCCCTCCCAAAGCCTCTGCTAGCAGCTGCAGGAGCCCAAGGTACAGGGGTGACTTTCTGGAACCACGTGTCACAAGGCAGGCCTCAGAGCACTCAGTCCAATGGCCTGACTCAGCCCAGCCCAGCCCCTGCTGGGGTCTTTGCAAACAGCAGCCCAGGACTGGGGTGTCAGGGAGGCCTGGCCTCTGCAGGCACAGTTTCCCCTTCCCTTCTTCACTTCTGTCTCCACCTTCTCCTATCCAGGAAGCACAAAATTGATCCCAGGGCTTTCTCCTCCTTCTCCTACCTCCTGAATTCTCAGATTCCATGTCCCCACTCACCCCAAGTGGCCCAGCCCACTCAGTTTGGTGAGGGTCCTCCTGTAGTGGTCCAATGTTTTCTGGATGAAAGTGGAAAGTTACTTGTGACCATCTCCTCAGGACATGACCAGCCTGGGCCGCCTGCACATCTCACTGACCAAGGTACCAGCAGACCCTGGATAGGCACCAGGATACTGAGAGAACAGGGACCACTGGACAGGTGAGTGGGGGGCCAGAGGCACATGCATGCAGCAGCACCTGGTGGCCTCTGAACTACCATGGCCTGCATGGTGGCTCTCTTTCACCCAGCTTCTCTTGGTTCAAGGTATCCACAGTCTCCTGCCACCTGTTGGGCATCTCCTTGCATGCATTAGTGTTGACTGCAGTCTGTGGCTGTGTGACACCAGTGCTCACTCAGAGACTCCACAGGCTCCTAGCTGTAGCTGAACACACTGTCTGCCCATATGCCTCCCTCCCCCGAACCCCAGTAGCAGCTGTAACATTTCTGCCCTTCTCAGCCACCAAGAAGGGAGACTAGGACACTGCTTCCCATGTTGTCTGGCAACCTAACACTAGTACCCAGCTACCCAATTCCTCACATAGTATCTAGCTTGTTCTACTCTGCAGAAAAGATAGAGAATAAAGTCTAATACTGTTTTTGTATGTGTATGCTTCATAATCACCTTAGGTAGGATGGGGGAAGTGTGTAGAAAGACTAAAGACTAATCTTAAACATTGCCTAAGTATTTAAGAGGAAAAAATGTGGACTGGCAGTGTGGCTCAAGCCATAAGAACACCTGCATAGAGAACATGAGGTCCTGAGTTCAAATCCCAATACCACCAAAACAATAAGCAAGAGAAAATAATACAAATATTCCTAGAAGATACTTGGGACCTTGCAATAGTTGGAGTCAAAATTTATGTAATCCTATGCTGGAAATTTGTACACTACAAAGCCCATTTTAAAATTCACTTACTAAGCTGTGTTGTTATTTGAATAATTTTGAGTTGAATTTTTTTTTTTTGGAACACTGGGGTTTGAACTCAAGACCTCACATTTGCTAGGCAGGCTCTATACTACTTGACCTACATTTAAGAGCCCTGCATTTAAGTAATTTTGGAAACCTGGAATCATGGCTGACTCTCCTTCTTCCTAACCCCACCTTAAGTGGGATCCTCATCCTTTCTATGCACCTATTTCAATCTCACTCACCCTTTCCTCACTTGACTTTCTCTCCTAGTAACCCATTCCCACACTCCTTTTTCTGTACCTACAGGTCACTGGAAGACACCCACTGCTATTTGTTTACAACAAAGGCAGGGGATCACCATGGCCTCTAATGGGTATCTTTTCCCAACAGCCTGGCAACTCAGGAGGCCTCTCTCAGAGGGGTGGCCATGGAGTCTCTTATGCTAAACTGAAGTCCATCTTCCACAAACAGCCAGTGGAATCCCTAAATGTCCAGCACCCTCAACACGACCTTGAGCATAGGAAGTATTCAGTCTCTATGTAACAAATTGATGCCACCAATCCAACAATTGCATCTCTAGTTACAAACTGAAGCCCACTATGTGTGTGATGAAACACAACTTATTTTAAGCAGATAAAATTAGAAAAGTGAAAAGAAATGTCCACCATTTTCTCTCTACTCAGACACAAATCATGCTATAGAATAGGCATTTTCAGCTTTCTCTTTCCTTTTAGAACTTATTATGTTGGTTTAAAGAGCATATAGACAATCTGGTTTTGCATGTACAACATTCAGAATGTAAACATTTATTCATCAATGATCCTTAAAAACACAAAAGGTAAAGCTAGCAGATTTTCTCCCTTGTCAGCTTGACAAAGTACACAAGAGCCTAATTCTCTTTCACTATTCCTAAGCATCATCACCCCAGAGTATCCATAAAAGATCCATGTATGCCATTTTCCCAATATATAATAAAAACACAATTTGTTAATATTCTTTATCTCAGAGCAAATCGGAGGATGTCCCCATGAACACCCAGCATACACTGAGTTAGGAAAACCAAGTCATCTTCCCCACTTGCATTCCTGAAGCACTCAGGACACAAATCATTGCACTTTGGCCAACAGATGGCAAATACCAAAGTCAACATGCTTTGTGCCAAACAGTTCTCTCTTACAAACAACATATCCACTGGTAGTCCAGATCAATTCTGGCGTGGGCTGTTGTCAAACACAGAGAGTAGATAAAAATTATTTTGACTGAAGTTCAGTTAAGCTATCACTCCACCAAGGAAAAAGGTACATCAACTCAACCCCCAAGATCAAACTGGGGCTCTGAAGTTCTGACACCATACAGAAGTCCAGAGAGAGAAAAGCAAGGTCCTGACATAAAAAGCTTTAATTCAGTGACTGACAGCAAGCTCTGTTTCAGTGTTTGATGGAGCCCTGCATGGAGCCTCTTCAATGCCAGAATTCTCAGCTCCTGAGTGGCTCAGAAATTGTGGGAGAAGTGTGTGCCTCTTCTAGCCACTTCCTTCTGGAGCCAAAGTCACTCTCCATCCTTGTACTGTGCCATTGATTGGGAAGAAGATGTTCCCATGGCACAGGCTCGCCAAAGCCTCAGGAAAAATGGAGTGGGGAGAGGACTAATGCAGCTCTGCTCAGTTGTGTTCTGTTGGGGGGAACCTTAAACTCATCTAACCATACAAAACTTCCTTTTCCCCACCCTCTGGTTCAGAGGCCTGGAGCAGGCTGGGACTATATTTTCAAGGCCCCTGGGACCTGGGATTCCAGTTGCATCAGGACAGGCTTCATCCTGGTCTCCCAGTCCCTATGTGTAACTTGGACATCACCATCCCACTTCAACCCACACAGGCTCCAGATACTGGAGGCTAGGCCCCAGTGGTGCTTCCCTCTTGCCCTGCAGTTCCTTGGCCTGAACCCTAGGAACAGGAGTGACATTTGGGAGCCATATGTCACAAGGCAGAGCTCCTGCACTCACCCCTCTATTCTGACACATCCCAGCTTATGCTGACAGCTTTGAAACCAGCAGTTCTGGGCTTGGCACACAAGGGAGTCTCAGCCCACAGCCTCACTTATCCTTCCCTGCCTCAACTCTGTCTCCGTCATCCCCTATCCAGAAAGCTCCAAATTGACCAGCACCTATACCCTTTCTCCTCCTCCTCCCTGACCCCCAATCACCCCATGTGACCCCTGCCATTCATCTTGCTGATGGTCCTCCGGAAGCTGATCAGGGCTTGCTAGATGAGTCTGAAAAGTTTCCTGTGGACATCTCTTCAGTGCACAACCAACCAAGGCTACCCCCAACTCTCACTGTCCTAGGCTTCAGCCACTCAGGCAGCAGTGCAAAGACCCTGGGAGTGGTGGAACCACTGGACAGGTGCACAGGCATCCAGGGGTGCAGGCAGGCAGTGACAGCAGGTGGATGCTGGGCTACAATGACTGCCTGGCTGCCCTCTCTCACCCCCAGTTTTGCTGGAAGCTTCAGGTTCCAGGCAACCACAAAATCCTGCCACTTGTTGGGCATCTCCTTGCACACAGGGGTGGCAGTGGCCAGGGCTATGTGGAGCCAATGTTAACTTACAGGCTGAAGTGGCTCCTAGCTGGAGCAGAATAGGCTGTCCAGCCCTTGGCCTCCCTTTCCAGGCCTCAGCTAACAGCAATTGGCTCTT